GTGAGTCAGTGAGTCAGTGAGGAGTCAGTGAGTGAGTCAGTCAGTGAGTGAGTCAGTGAGTCAGTGAGTCAGTGAGTCAGTGAGTCAGTGAGTCAGTGAGTCAGTGAGTCAGTGAGTCAGTGAGTCAGTGAGTCAGTGAGTCAGTGAGTCAGTGGAGTCAGTGAGTCAGTGGAGTCAGTGAGTCAGTGAGTCAGTGAGTCAGTGAGTCAGTGAGTCAGTGAGTCAGTGAGTCAGTGAGTCAGTGAGTCAGTGAGTCAGTGAGTCAGTGAGGAGTCAGTGAGTGAGTCAGGAGTGAGTCAGTGAGTCAGTGAGGAGTCAGTGAGTCAGTGATGAGTCAGTGATGAGTCAGTGAGTCAGTGATGAGTCAGTGAGTCAGTGAGTCAGTGAGTCAGTGAGGGGTCAGTGAGTCAGTGAGTCAGTGAGTCAGTGATGAGTCAGTGAGTCAGTGAGTCAGTGAGTCAGTGAGTCAGTGAGGAGTCAGTGAGTCAGTGAGGAGTCAGTGAGTCAGTGAGTCAGTGAGTCAGTGAGTCAGTGAGTCAGTGAGTCAGTGAGTCAGTGAGTCAGCGAGTCAGCGAGTCAGTCAGTGAGTCAGTCAGTGAGTCAGTCAGTGAGTCAGTCAGTGAGTCAGTGAGTCAGTGAGTCAGTGAGTCAGTGGGTCAGTGAGTCAGTGAGTCAGTGAGTCAGTGAGTGAGTGAGTGAGTGAGTCAGTGAGTCAGTCAGCCAGTCAGCCAGTCAGCCAGTCAGCCAGTGAGCCAGTGACCAGTGACAAGTGAGTCCAGTGAGTCCAGTGAGTCAGTGACCTCAGGTGAGTCAGTGAGTCAGTGAGGCATGATCTATGAGTCAGTGAGTCCAGTGAGTGAGTGAGGTGAGTGAGTGAGTGAGTGGAGTGAGTGAGTCAGTGAGTCAGTGAGTCAGTGAGTGAGTGAGTGAGTGAGTGAGTGAGTCAGTGAGTCAGTGAGTCAGTGAGTCAGTGAGTCAGTGAGTCAGTGAGTCAGTGAGTCAGTGAGTCAGTGAGTCAGTGAGTCAGTGAGTCAGTGAGTGATTGAGTCAGTGAGTGATTGAGTCAGTGAGTCAGTGAGTCAGTGAGTCAGTGAGTCAGTGAGTCAGTGAGTCAGTGAGTGAGTCAGTGAGTGAGTCAGTGAGTCAGTGAGTCAGTGAGTCAGCGAGTCAGCGAGTCAGCGAGTCAGCGAGTCAGTCAGTGAGTCAGTCAGTGAGTCAGTCAGTGAGTCAGTCAGTGAGTCAGTCAGTGAGTCAGTGAGTCAGTCAGTGAGTCAGTCAGTGAGTCAGTCAGTGAGTCAGTGAGTCAGTGAGTCAGTCAGTGAGTCAGTGAGTCAGTGAGTGAGTCAGTCAGTGAGTGAGTCAGTGAGTCAGTGAGTGAGTCAGTGAGTCAGTGAGTGAGTCGGCGAGTGAGTCGGTGAGTGAGTCGGTGAGTGAGTCAGTGAGTGAGTCAGTGAGTGGGTGAGTCAGTGAGTCAGTGAGTCAGTGAGTCAGTGAGTCAGTCAGTGAGTCAGTGAGTCAGTGAGTCAGTGAGTCAGTGAGTCAGTGAGTCAGTGAGTCAGTCAGTGAGTGAGTCAGTGAGTGAGTCAGTGAGTGAGTCAGTGAGTGGGTGAGTCAGTGAGTGGGTGAGTCAGTGAGTCAGTGAGTCAGTGAGTCAGTGAGTCAGTGAGTCAGTGAGTCAGCGAGTGAGTCAGCGAGTGAGTCAGCCAGCGAGTGAGTCAGCGAGTGAGTCAGCGAGTGAGTCAGTGAGCGAGTCAGTGAGTGAGTCAGTGAGCCAGTGAGTCAGTGAGTGAGTCAGTGAGTCAGTGAGTGAGTCAGTGAGTCAGTGAGTGAGTCAGTGAGTGAGTCAGTGAGTGAGTCAGTGAGTGAGTCAGTGAGTGAGTCAGTCAGTGAGTCAGTGAGTCAGGGAGTCAGTCAGTGAGTCAGTCAGTGAGTCAGTCAGTGAGTCAGTGTGAGTCAGTGAGTCAGTGTGAGTGAGTGAGTGAGTGAGTGAGTGAGTGAGTGAGTGAGTGAGTGAGTGAGTGAGTGAGTGAGTGAGTGAGTGAGTGAGTGAGTGAGTGATTGAGTGAGTGAGTGAGTGAGTGAGTGAGTGAGTGAGTGAGTGAGTGAGTGAGTGAGTGAGTGAGCGAGTGAGCGAGTGAGTGAGTGAGTGAGTGAGTGAGTCAGTGAGTCAGTGAGTCAGTGAGTCAGTGAGTCAGTGAGTCAGTGAGTCAGTGAGTCAGTGAGTCAGTGAGTCAGTGAGTCAGTGAGTCAGTGAGTCAGTGAGTCAGTGAGTCAGTGAGTCAGTCAGTGAGTGAGTCAGCGAGTGAGTCAGCGAGTGAGTCAGTGAGTCAGTGAGTCAGTGAGTCAGTGAGTGAGTGAGTGAGTGAGTCAGTGAGTGAGTCAGTGAGTGAGTCAGTGAGTGAGTCAGTCAGTGAGTCAGTGAGTCAGGGAGTCAGTCAGTGAGCCAGTCAGTGAGTCAGTCAGTGAGTCAGTGTGAGTCAGTGAGTCAGTGTGAGTCAGTGTGAGTGAGTGAGTGAGTGAGTGAGTGAGTGAGTGAGTGAGTGAGTGAGTGAGTGAGTGAGTGAGTGAGTGAGTGAGTGAGTGAGTGAGTGATGGAGTGAGTGAGTGAGTGAGTGAGTGAGTGAGTGAGTGAGTGAGTGAGTGAGTGAGTGAGTGAGTGAGTGAGTGAGTGAGTGAGTGAGTCAGTGAGTCAGTGAGTCAGTGAGTCAGTGAGCCAGTGAGTCAGTGAGTCAGTGAGCCAGTGAGTCAGTGAGTCAGTGAGTCAGTGAGTCAGTGAGTCAGTGAGTCAGTGAGTCAGTGAGTCAGTGAGTCAGTGAGTCAGTGAGTCAGTGAGTCAGTGAGTCAGTGAGTCAGTGAGTCAGTGAGTCAGTGAGTCAGTGAGTGAGTGAGTGAGTGAGAGAGTGAGTGAGTGAGTGAGTCAGTGAGTCAGTGAGTCAGTGAGTCAGTGAGTCAGTGAGTCAGTGAGTCAGTGAGTCAGTGAGTGATTGAGTCAGTGAGTCAGTGAGTCAGTGAGTCAGTGAGTCAGTGAGTCAGTGAGTCAGTGAGTCAGTGAGTCAGTGGGTCAGTGAGTCAGTGAGTCAGTGAGTCAGTGAGTGAGTGAGTGAGTGAGTCAGTGAGTCAGTCAGCCAGTCAGCCAGTCAGCCAGTCAGCCAGTGAGCCAGTGAGCCAGTGAGTCAGTGAGTCAGTGAGTCAGTGAGTCAGTGAGTCAGTGAGTCAGTGAGTCAGTGAGTCAGTGAGTCAGTGAGTCAGTGAGTCAGTGAGTGAGTGAGTCAGTGAGTCAGTGAGTCAGTGAGTCAGTGAGTCAGTGAGTCAGTGAGTCAGTGAGTCAGTGATTCAGTGAGTCAGTGAGTCAGTGAGTCAGTGAGTCAGTGAGTCAGTGAGTCAGTGAGTCAGTGAGTCAGTGAGTCAGTGAGTCAGTGAGTCAGTGAGTCAGTGAGTCAGTGAGTCAGTGAGTCAGTGAGTGAGTCAGTGAGTGAGTCAGTGAGTGAGTGAGTGAGTGAGTGAGTGAGTGAGTGAGTGAGTGAGTGAGTGAGTGAGGTGAGTGAGTGAGTGAGTGAGTGAGTGAGTGAGTGAGTGAGTGGGTGGGTGAGTGAGTGAGTGAGTGAGTGACTGCGTGAGTGAGTGACTGCGTGAGCGAGTGGAGTGAGTGGAGTGAGTGGAGTGAGTGGAGTGAGTGGAGTGAGTGGAGTGAGTGGAGTGAGTGGAGTGAGTGGAGTGAGTGGAGTGTGTGGAGTGAGTGGAGTGAGTGGAGTGAGTGGAGTGAGTGGAGTGAGTGGAGTGAGTGGAGTGAGTGGAGTGAGTGGAGTGAGTGGAGTGAGTGGAGTGAGTGGAGTGAGTGGAGTGAAGGGAGTGAGTGGAGTGAGTGAGTGAGTGAGTGAGTGAGTGAGTGAGTGAGTGAGTGAGTGAGTGAGTGAGTGAGTGAGTCAGTGAGTCAGTGAGTCAGTGAGTCAGTGAGTCAGTGAGTCAGTGAGTCAGTCAGTGAGTGAGTGAGTGAGTGAGTGAGTGAGTGAGTGAGTGAGTGAGTGAGTGAGTGAGTGAGTGAGTGAGTGAGTGAGTGAGTCAGTGAGTGAGTGAGTGAGTGAGTGAGTGAGTGAGTGAGTCAGTGAGTGAGTCAGTGAGTGAGTGAGTGAGTCAGTGAGTGAGTCAGTGAGTGAGTGAGTGAGTCAGTGAGTGAGTCAGTGAGTCAGTGAGTCAGTGAGTCAGTGAGTCAGTGAGTCAGTGAGTCAGTGAGTCAGTGAGTCAGTGAGTCAGTGAGTCAGTGAGTCAGTGAGTCAGTCAGTCAGTCAGTCAGTCAGTCAGTCAGTCAGTCAGTCAGTCAGTCAGTCAGTCAGTCAGTCAGTCAGTCAGTCCGTGAGTCAGTCCCATGAATTGAAAAGGGGCCTGCAAACGTTGCGAGTTAGCCAGACAGCAGATTGGCACTGCTTTGCCCATTTGCGTCTTTCACTTAGGCGCGCAGACCGTCAGGCCTGATGATTGCATGGCTGTCTTCAAGCACGGATGACTGCGCAAGGAGCCAGGCGTACCATTGGATGGAGGCGCATGTCAAGTCGCAGACCAGCACCTATTACAAAGACTTGTTGAAGCAGGACATGGCAAAAGGTTCTGTTTTGGGAATGACTTGACCTTCTTGATTGAACATGGCAGTGCACATTGGGTTGTGTTTCGCTCAGGAGAAGCTGTACAAAACCACCGAGCCCTTTGAGGGCAGCTTTCTAATCTCCGGGATTCAGGTAGGGCCCGAAGCGTGGACTTTTGGCTGATCGTTCTGCCAAGGCCGAGTTCCCCACCACTTACACGGTCTTTGTCACAGCGGAGAACCCGCACAGCACCGGGCCCTGAGCGGGTTGAGGATGGTAAGTGGGCCCTTGTAACTGTCGTGGCTGGCACTAAGTCTTGGGTTTTGCTTGGGAACTGAACTGGGCAGTCCTTGAGAATATACATATGGCATATACGTACACACACACATTTATATATATATATATACATGTTTTTTGTTTTTGTTTTGTTCGTTTGTTCCTTTGTTTGGTTGGTTGGTTGTTTGGTTGGTTTGATTTGGTATGTTGTTTCGTTGGTTGGCTTGGTTTGGTTTGGTTTGGTTTTGTTTTGTTTTGTTGCTTGTTTGTTTGTTTTGTTTTGTTGCTTGTTTGTTTGCTTGCTTGCTTGCTTGCTTCATTGCTTGCTTTGTTTGCTTGTTTCGTTTCTTTGCTTCTTTGTTTCTTTTTATTTGTTTGCTTGTTTGTTTGTTTGTTTGTGTGCATCTGTGTGTCGGTGTGTCTGTGCGTCTGTGTGTTTGCTTCTGTGTATGTGTGCGTGCGTGCGTGTTTCTTGCTCAGTCGTGACATGGGCACATTGCGTTGGCGATTTTGTTATGACCTGTTACGACTCATGCCGATTTATTGGCACTCAACGGGGTGGCGGTGCGCATGCTGATTTGTTTGGTACTTCTCTGGGAGAAAGTCTTGCCCGCGGCGTGAGCCGCAGGGTTGGAAAGCAAGCTGAGGTCGAGCTTTGGCTGGCACCCCTGCGAAGGCAAGTTTGCCTTGACCCCAGCTTTCGGAACCGCAACCGGCCCCACATTTGGCACACGTGGAACGCCGGCTGGAGGTTGATCCCGGCTTGCTCTCCCTTCTGCGAGTCCTGTGAGCTCTCGGGATCTCACCTTTGCGACCCGGGGAAGTGCATCAAAGGCGCTGGGTGGACATTCCTCACTTGCGGAGCTGAATCAGTTGATTTCGGGGCAGATGACGTGCAGAGCGCTCCAGGGGCAGACTTTTTTTTTGGGCGGGGGCAGGCACGCACTACCATCAGGGGCGCTGCTGGCCGTGTGTGGACCATTGCAACTTGGCGTCAATCCCGACCTGGCGGTGTTCCTTCTAGCCCCAGTCATCGCACACATCAAGGTAAAACCCCGTGCGGCTGAATAAATCAAGGCTGAGCACCCGCCCAGCGGCAGACAGAAGAAGTTCCAAAAGACTTGGCCCGCCTTCTTGCCCACCACTTGGGGTTTTGGACCACCTGCCCGGGATGAGAGTTGGTTGGGCTTGCCATCAGGCGAGAGCTGCGAATTTGGGGCCGCACCTTTGGACTTCGGGGTGGTGAACCTCACGGATTCGGAGCGGGGGTTGAAGTCGCCTTGCATGTGGCTGCCATCTCAAATGTGGTTGGTGGACATGAATCCCCATCGAATTCGATGCCCCAATATTCCATCCCTAGTGTACCTGAAGAAGAGGCTTTGCCTCTTCTTCCGAGGTTGGGCTGGTATTGATATCTTGTTTCGCGGTTCTTTGTTTATGTTTACGGGGTGGCTTAAACAGGAACAATGCTGACAAGCATTGGGATTGGAAAGCGATCTTTGTTCGATTGGGAAACTGGGCGGGGATCAATCCTATTGACGTATTTGTCACATTGGTGTGAAATATGTTTCATTGGTATTCGGACTGTGGTATGTATGCACACATATATAGATAGGGCTTTTATTAGCCTGTTATAGTTTTTTCATATTGTTGTCATGGTTGCACCTAAACATGTAGCGCACAACATTTTTTTGAAGATCCGGGACGTGCGTCTCAGGCTGCAGCGAGGGATCGCTATGGTAACGGCTTGGTTGGGATACCCTAGCGAGCCCTTATGCCGGGTTCATACCCATTTGGAGGGGGCGAGACGGTTGTGAACAAACTGCGCGAAGCACGCTTGCAGCGCAGCCGTCTGCTTGACGCTTGTCGTGCCAGGAGTCCATCCCCTGTGACTATGGTGGCTGCAAAGACGGCTTTGGACTACACGCTGGGAGGCGCATGTGCCTATGGAACTTTGGGTCTGATGTCCCACGCAACTCTTGATGTTCCTCGTGGCCCGCCAGTTTGCCGCTCCAGCCCGCCAGGTGCTTACCTTGCAAGGTCGAAGACTGCAGAGACTGCTATGAGGACCCACAGAAGATGGAACATTCTTCGCCATAAATGTGTTGGGAGCTGTACAGTTGCAGGCCCCAAGTCCCAGTCTTTTGTGCTCTTTTTGCGGCAGCGGGTGCAGGACTTGGCGGTTTGCGGGCTGTGCAAGCCTGGCTTGGGGTTGGACAACAACGGCCTCCTGCTCAGCATTGAGCAGCGGAAAGCAGGGTGTGACTATATCAACTTCTGCGAAGTTCATTCGAATTGCAGTTCTTGAGCAAGCGTTCGATCTTTGTGCGGGTGAAAACATGGAATGGCCGAGCCCTTGATCAAGACGGCGCCCGAACCAATAAACGGGCGAGAACGCTAGAGGTGAGGTTCTGGAGTGTGCACAGGAGACGATTCTGCGGGTGATGATGAGCAAGATCTATGCCGTGGACAACAACGATGGGACCGTCCGGGCTATCCTGGAGGACAACCAGTCAGCAGGACTTTTGGCGCAGTACAACTCCTGAGCGCCACGTGGCCGCAGCCCTCTTCCCAGCGAATTCGTGAAGCAGACGATGCGCTGGCCTCCCCAAAAACAGCGCGAGTGTCCCTGGTGCCCGGGGGCGCTCCTTAAAAGGGCCTGACTCATGCTTCTGGAAAAATGTGCCCGCAAATGGTGCTACAACAGCAGCAGGAAGTGATGCGAGCTGGCGACGCTGGTGAAGGCCTGAGCCTACCTGCGCATGAGGCCGCCCAACTCGCCCAACTCCAGCAGAATGCGTCTGGCAGCACCCTTCTCGACCAGCGTGGTGTGGATCCGTTGGCCTCCACGCTCAGCGTTCGCGGATGGCCAAGTTCCCAGAACCTGTCCTGAAAAGGTGACCCCAACGTGCTTTTCGGCGAGGTGTGCGCTTTGTCCATGCGGGTTTGTCAAGCGCCTCCTTGAAGATGGGGTGTGTTGTCAGCAGGGTAGCCTTCGCGCAGGCGCGTTCATGCTGGCAAACGTCCGTGACTGTCGCAGACGCAGAGCGGGCGGAAGATCCAGCCGCCCGTCTTTGGCCGAACAGAGGCTCTTTCCAGTTACTGTTGTTGTCGAAGAGCTGCAGGAACGTCATTCCTGAAGTGAACAGTTCAGGTTCCGGCTCCGCGAAGTTTGCCAGGGTCCGCGGTCATCACGCCCCTGTTGCCTGAAGCGACAACGCCGGCCCAGCCAGCGCTTGCCCAGCAGACGAGCCGCTACTTCCACCTTGTGATTGCGTGGCGAAATTGCCGTTTTCTTTGAGGCTGGCCAACCAGAATCTCCCCGGAACGTCGCGCTGGTAGGCGGGCCTCGTCGTGCAAGGGCCCGACTGTTTTTGTGAACCCAGGTCACGAAGTTTGAGGATGGTTGTGCCCTTCAATTCCATGGGCAGTGTCACAGAGCCGGATTCTATGGAGTCTCGCAAGGCGAGGAGTGATGAAGGAACGCAAGGAGAGTGCTCGGAGAGCGTCGTCGACGTCGGGCGGGAGGTGGATGCCTCTGAGCCAGCTTCGGGGCGTGCCTGACGGCAGCAAGATCAAGACCCCTGTCGCCCTGACTCAGGACACCAAGGCGGAAGGCATAGGGGAGACAGTTTCAGCCTTTGATTGCCGAGATTTGGGACGAAGAGCGAGTGAAGATTCTGCTGCCCAAGAGGGCGATAATACTGGACTTGGAGACTTAAAGCCAACTCGGGCCTGAGTGAATTATTTTTGAGCTTTCCGACCAGCCGGTGCGATTTTGTACACAGCGTTTTATCTTTGTACGGGTGACAGCATGGAATGGCCAAGCTCCTGATCGACTTGAGATTCCGGGGTTGTTTGTGACAACGCTGCTGAGCATCATTTGCAATCGGGAAAGATCAGCCTCAGGCACATGTCAGCAGTGTGTCCAGCGCTCAATGTTAGAGCCGGCTTGAACCTGTCAAAACATTGAACAGATTGCTTGGCCCAGGGCGGCCCACATTGCAGGCTCGGGCCGTGGGGTCTTTTTCAAAAGCTCGTGATACTGGCGTGCGCGCTTCGAATCAACTGGAATCGTCCCAGAGCCCCCGGGCGCGCGC